AGACACACGTTTCTTTGAAGAAGGAAGGAAGAAAATCTAAAATACATTAGGTGGCATGTCAAATTGTAATTGCTCCTAAATGTCAATGATGCCTTGGTGTAGGTTCGCTCAAAACCCAAAATCATGCTTTACTTGCCAAGTGGCGGTGGAAATTAAGATCAGGGGAAAACTCACTCTGGAGCAGAGTAATTCGAAGTCTACACAATATTAGTAGGAGGCCTATACATAGTGTTGTGGGAAAATCGACCACAAGAGTACGGATCAACATTGTTAATGACATTACAAGCTTAGAACCGCTGAATATCAATCTTGAAGATTTATTCTCCTTAAAAATCAAATATGGAAGTTCTAGTCTTTTTTGGTAGGATGTATGGATTGGTACAATTAATCTTCAGACTCGATTTCCTTCATTATATGCCCTAGAGTCTTTTAAATGTTGCAAATCGTTAAGAGATGCTCCAATGTTCGCTTTCGATGGTCATGGGAATGTAATCCTAGTAGTCTTGAAGTTCTTGCTGAACTAAACAAACTATGCACTCTTGTCGCTTCTCACACATTCAATATAGAAGCAGATGAATTTTGTTGTAATATTGCCCTCGATGGCAACTTTTCTGTGAACATTATGCGTAAGTTTTTAGACTCAAAATTAAATGTATATCAAGGGCCAAAAAATGTTTGGACTAAAATAGTTCCTATTAAAAGTTGTGCTTTATTTGGTGTGCTCGACTTGGTAGGATTCCAGTTGCGGAGACTCTTGCACAACGAGGGGTTCATGTAGACAATCAAAACTACCCATTATGTGGTTCTTTTGATAGTGGAGCATTTTTTTTCTTTCATTGTAGGTTCACCTCAACTGCACGTTATTGGATTCTAAGTTGGTGTGACCTTTTGTTTATACAATTTTCCAGGTTGGTGGATTTCCTTGATTTTGTTGCAAGTTAGGGCAATTGCCATAGAAAAAGGAAACATTTAACCGATAAATTATTGCTTCACATCGAGGTATAGATTAGGCGATATAAACTGGGTGCATTTATGTTGTAATCCATTTTGAGTTTCCTTTGTGTTTAAAACCTTCTTGTACTTTCCAAGTCTTAGTTCCTTGCTAAGAGCATCCACAATGCATAGCTTAATGGGAGAGTTGAATGAGGTGTCATGCATAATTGACATTTAATGGATTAAAATTTATCATTGTAGGATGCTATGTTGACATTGAATGGATATGGAGTTCCATGGCCATTGAACTCTTCAATGGGAAAATGAAAGTTTTTTTAAATATTAAATGTACGATCTATTTAATTTTGTATAGTTCAATGCATTGCAGAGAAATTTTGGTAGAGTTGTATGGAGAGTAAAATGATGATGTGGCAAATCATTGAACTTTAAAGAGTTTTTTTTGAAAGAGGGACTTTAAAGAGTTCAATACATTGTGGATGCCCTAAGTTTGGTTTTACTCTTTTATATATTTCTCGTTTCCAAAAAAATTATACTCCCTCCGTCCCAAAATTATAGTCCATCTTTCCTTTTTGGTTTGTCCCAAAATAATAGTCCATTTTTAAAAATAAATAATATTTTGGGTAAATTACACGGATGGTCCCTATGGTTTAGGGTAATCTGCGTGCTTAGTCCCTAACAACTATTTTTAACTCAGATCGTCCTTATTTTATATTTTTGTTGCACGCTTGGTCCCTGTCCGTTCTAAAAAGACTAATATACCCTTATTCATTTCTTTTTTAATTATTTTTTTATTTATTTATTTATTATTTATATCAAAAATAAAATAAAAAGAAACCTAAACCTAATACTTTTCATTCCCACTTTCTTCATCGGCGTTTCTCCTACACCACGCCTCCACCTCCAGCTAACTCCCCCATCGTCTCTCCCTCCCCTTTCAACACATCAACACTTTCTCTCTCCAACGTTCCCGGCGAGTGTAGAGTCGTCGTCCCTAGCATTCGCTGCTCTCGCCACTAGCTCCCACCGCCATCGCCAATCCCTTTGTGTAGAGCTGTTATCAATGATTCATCATCTTCTTCGTCGATTCATCATCTCCGATCAGTGATTCACAGTTGTGGAAAGTTGTATCAAGTAGATTCGAGTATGGTGAAACAAGATTTGATGCAAGTTTCTTACGAATCAGGTGGATGGGTTTACTTTAGGTCAAATGTTTGAAATCAAGGTTATGCATGTGTTGTTATCTGCTGTTTTTCTAATTTTTGTGTAATTCGAAATCCATTTACGTTACATTAGATTGTGAACAAAATTAAGAAACAACCCAACATGTTAGGGTTTTTATGGTTTAAATCATCCATAGTGTTGTAATCTATTTGAACTATCTCAGATTGTGTAATCGATTTCATTTTCATCAGATTTTCAATTTGTATTTTTTCTGGGTTTGAGAAAAGATGAGGTTGTGATTGTTGGAACTGTCTCGAATTGTTCATTGATTTTTGATTTCCTTCTTTTTTTTGTTTCCTTGTTTATAAATGCTTGGTAATATGAACATGGATGTGTTCCAAGTGAGATAAAGGAGTTGGGGCAAGAAGGCATTCTTGCCAAATAAAGGGGAAGGCGATTGGTTTTCTGGTAAGTAGGTTTTCCGATGAGTGGATTTTTGGTTGCAAATAAAATTGCCAGTGGTGATGGTTGAGGAAACTGACGGTGTTGGTGGTATTGCAGGTGGTTGGTGATAACCTATTGGGATGGTGGGACCATATTCTTTTTTTATTAATGTTTTTTTTAATTTAAAATATTAATAAAAACCGATTAAAGATATCAAAAAGGGTAATGTGGTCATTTCAAGTCATCAAGGGACCAAGCGTGCAACAAAAATATAAAGTAGGGACGGTCCGAGTTAAAAAAGGTTGTTAGGGACCAAGCACGTAAATTACCCTAAACCACAAGGACCATCCGTGTAATTTACCCTAATATTTTTATCAAAAATATCATCACATTATTACTTAACCAACTAAGCAATTAATGAAACATTAAATGCATTAAATGGAACATTAAATGCATTAAGCATTTAATGGAACATTAAATGCAAAGTAAGGACAAAACTGTCAATTTTATTATATAAAGTTAGTGATAATTAATGTTTTTTTAATCTGTATGTTTTTTGTTTGTGGACGATAATTTTGAGACGGAGAGAGGACTGTAAACAAGAAAAATATGGACCAAATTTATGATACAATATAAAAAAAAGGATAAACTGTAAACTTAAGGTGGCAGAAGATGAATGGGAGCTTACATTGTAAATTGTAGACTAAACTGCACAAATGGTCCCTGTGGTTAGCTTAAAATTGTCACTTTGGTCCAAAAAGGTTTGGACTAGCACCATAGGTCCAAACTTTTCATTTTGTTGCGAGTTTGGTCCAATATGCTTTGAACTTTTTTCAAATGACAATTTTACGCCTATTTTTTATTTTTCTGTTTTTTATTATTTTTATTAATTTCTTTTTCCATTTTTATATGACAATAACTAAGAAAAAAAAATATTGAATGTTTATCTCCCATCCCATTCCTTCTCTCTCTACATTACATATGAAAAACACTGAAACTCTAAACCTGCACATCACCGAACCTCCGACTCTGACAAAGGTTGAACCGTCGGACTATCGCCCTTCTCGTCGGACCTCCCTCTTCTCACCGGAACGCGACCTATTCGAAACCACCAACACTAGTCGGAAACCGCCGCCACAGCTACCATTCTCTCTCTACTCCGTCTCTCTTTCTCTCCACCGTCTCTCTCCTTCTCCGGTGTTGCCTACCCGACGTTGAAACATCTCTGTCTGATTTCGTTGGAGTTAATCTATTGTGAAAACCCTTCTTGCCGATCTTCTTTGAAGATCTTTTCGTCGTAGATCTGGAACACCGACGATTTGAAACACGACCATCTTCTTTTGAGCTCCAACTCCCCACATCTCCAGAGACGAAAGGATCTGATTCGAGGCAGCAACGGAACCTGAGGCCAACGATCGAGGAGGAATCCAAAGTGGTTTGCGGTGAAATCGAGTTACAGGAGGCGACGACGCTGTCCCCCATTCCAAACGACGAAGATGATGGCGATGCCAAGAACGACGGAGGGGGAGAGAAAGAAGGGGAGCCATTCGTCATCTTTGTTGCCCAAATCATTAAATAGAACCATCACCACCGACCATTTAGGGTTTTCTGACGGTAGATTTGAAACCCTCACTCTTTCTGATGAACATTTGCTTTGACGATTGTATAGAGAAGGTGATCGAAGCAGCAGAAAAAAGAGAAAGAGAGTGACACCGGGAGTGGTGGTTGTGGTGATGGTTTCCGACAGGTGGCGGCGATTTATGGTGGGTGGCATTTTTTTCCGGAAGATGGTGGTGTTTTCCGTTTGGTGGCTATGGTTTCCGGCGACATAGTGGAGTGAGAGAGATAGGTAATATGTATGTTAAAGAGATAGTAAGTGGGTGTAGTAGTATGGGTGAGTTTTTTTTTTCTTAATTTAGTTTTTAAATCTGAAAATCAGAAAAATAAATAAGAAAATGGAAAAAGAAATTAATAGAAATAATAAAAAACTGAAAAATAAAAAAAATATGGGCAAAATCGTCATTTGAAAAAAGTTCAAAGTAAATTACATCAAACTCGCAACAAAATGAAAAAGTTTGGACCTTCCAAACTTTTTTGATCAGCAATTTTGAGCTAACCAAAGGATGCAGTTTACTCTAAATTGTACATAGTAAGGGGGTGTTTGGCTTGTCTTTTTGAGAGACAAAAGTCCTTTTTGGAAAAGAGAAAGGGCAAAAGATGTTTTGTAAAAACATTTTAAAAGTGACATTTGGATTTTAGATAGAAGGAAAACTGACTTTTTGAAAAAGTTAGGAAAACCTGACTTTTTGTAACTATTCCAAAAATGATTTTTTTTTTTTTTTTTTTTCTCTCAAAAAAACAAGTTTCCGGAAGGTACACACTCTCAGGTCTTAAGTCATCGATGGGTCTTTCTTCTCTACAGACAGAAAAACCAGAGAGAGATGGGGATTTGGGACGTGATATATTCCATCGGCGACGGAGTTAAAGGAATAACACCGGATCTATCGAGGGTGAAACGCGCAGGCGGCACAGCTTACGGTTACACTTCCGCCACCGTCACGAAGATCGATCAGGTGGTTAGAGTGGACGGTATCCAGAAGTTGCCTCAGTACTGGCCCAGATCACCCTTTTCACCACCACGCTTGCTAAAAACACCGCTCAATATGCCGTCTATGAAGGCTTCAAACACATTCCTGGTTTGCTCCTTCCCTCTCTCTACTCCATTTTTAAGCCTAAAATCGAGTCGATCATCTGATGACGTATTTCGCTTGGAACACTGTTAGGTTAAGGGTTTGTAACCTTTCTAATCCGCTTTAGTAGAAAGCAACATGTTATTCCAAAATAATGGTCTCGCTATAGAAAATGGCACAATGGATACTCGCATAACTCCTTAAAGCTCACGAAATTTTCGAAATCACTCTTAATTCTGTAACAGATATGGAGCTTTAGGGTTTCCATTCTACTCGTAGAACAATTTCTGGCTTGATTCAGAGCTTAAACAAGTCATGAGTGGTTTTAATGCCATTAAATATTGGTTGTTACGTTTTCAATTCCACTAAATTTCTAACTATTTCGATGTTGGAATGTAATGCAAGCAGTTTTTTTAGTGCCCATCTCTGATTCAGATGATTGATAGTTTTATGCTGACTGTAGCTTTAGTTACTTGATATTCAGGATATTCTCAAACTTATATAAAAAGAAACAGTAGGAAACTTTGAAACATTTAAACCTGCACCATAGCTTGATGTTCAGCTCATAAATTTGTGCCGAATTCCATTTGCTCTTTCACTTGTGGTTCTTTATATATATGTCCATTTCTTGAGAGAGTCTTGTTGCATTCTTGGTGATAGCCATTGAAGTAATTTGGTATACATTATGTGTGTACATACGTAGGTGCAACTGTGGCAACTAAGTTGGTTTCTGATACAATGCGTGAAGTTCAAGGACAAAGTCAAAAAGATGGAATGAAAGCAAAGGTGGACAGATTGGAGGCAGATTTGAGGAGATTAACTCCACAACAAGGAGCTTCAAGCGAAAATGGGAAATTAAGCTTTCAAGTTGCAGTTGAAAGTGGACATGAGAAGGCTAGAGACGTCATTAACATGTTCATGAAGACGGAGTTTGTAGGAAACCAAATGTTTCATGACTTAATGGTCCCTAAAAGTGTTCGTATGGAGAAGAAAAACGAGTAGAAGTCAATCGGTGTATAATGTGTATGTGTGTTGTTAGGGCAGGAAAAAAGAAGGGGTCTTATGTCACAGGTTACTAAATTTATGTTAGGTGGGTTTCATATATTTGAGATAAATATCAGAAAATACATCTTATTATGGAAATCTTATTAAAATTAATCCCCCTATTAACTTCTTATATGTCGAAAACCTCTCGATATTTCTTAGCTTAAATAATTTCTTTTTGACCAATAAACGTAAATTGATTGCTTTGGAATCATTGATTGGATTGTTGTTAAAGGGGTATTTAGAGTGCTTTTTAAAATGATTTATTAATTTATTGGTTTTTCAAAAAGCCAATAAGTTAAAAAAATATTTAGTCAAGACTAATTGTTTAGGCAAAATAATGATTTAAAAAAAAAAAACACTTCCAAATACACCTTAAAACAAAGAAAAATATGAAGTCATCGAGTGTGACCTTCTATTTCAGTTCATTAGATAGCTCCTGTGATTACTCCTTTCCACTGTTGTAATTGGGTATTTAACCCTATTGCATTTTCTCTAATATACAATTCAATTTTCTATGGCCTCTCTGATTTCTTCATAATCTTGTTGTAATTGGGTACCGTACCCTTGTGGGAGCTTTACCGGACCGGACATTGCTTTCACTGTCAACGGATTGTCCTAGTTCATGCACATGCCTACTTCTCAACATTGGGCAGCCAGGGAACATCACAAAATGGGATTTAATCGGTAAGCATTCCCCTTTCCACTTGCACGCTTACACCGATGCGGATTGGGCGGGCGATAAAGACATTTATCAGAGCACTACTGGTTATGTAGTTTATTTGGGTTCAAATCCCATATCTTGGAGCTCAACACGCCAAAATACCTTGGCCTGAAGCTCGACTGAAGCTGAGTTTCGTGATGTAGCCTCCACCACCACTGAAGTTCAATGGTTACTCTCCATGCTTTCTGAACTTGGACTACACTCATCTCTGGTTCCTACCATCTATTGCAATAATTTAAGTGCAACAACTTACTCAACCAACCCTGTTTTTCATTCCCAGATGAAACATTTGGCGCTTGATCACTTTGTCAGGGAAAAATCCAGGCCGGTTCCTTACGGGTTACCCATATCTCCGGGGATGATCAACTTGCGGATGTTCTAACGAAAGCTCTTCCTAAACAACGGTTCAATCTCTTGACTGCCAAGATTGGCCTAACCTCACGGTTGTCCATCTTTAGGGACAATATTAAGCACTAGGTGTAAAACCCGTCTATTACATGAGATGATTAAAAAAAATAAAATATTAAAATGTAAATAATAAATATTTTTTAAAATAAAATTTTGAAAATGTAAATAATAAGTATAATATTTATTACATTTGATACTTTACATATATAACTATAAGTATTATGTGGCTTTTTAATTTTAAAAATTAGAAAAAACCATAAATTGACATTTGGATATAATTTATTTAAAAATTATCACAAAATGACAAGTATCGAAACTTATTAGAGATTGACATGTGACAAAATTATCTTTATTTATTATAGTAGATTATTAGGATCGATAACACAAATAGTCAAACCATTTGAATTGCTTTCCTTAATACCTATGAATGGTTATTTTTAGTCATAGATATTGTTTCTATTTCAGTTTCTTAGATAGCTCCTGTGATTACTCCTTTCCATTGTTGTAATTGGGTATTTAACCCTATTGTATCTTCTCTAATATACAATTCGATTTTCTAGCGCCGCTCTGATTGCTTCATAATCTTGTTATTTAAGAGTCCAATTTAGAAAAATGAAATGTGAGATTTTATGTTTTTAACAGTCCAATTTAGAAAAAAAGAAATGTGAGATTTGCATAGGGTCAACATTTAGATCAACTTTTTAAATTTTAAAATACTTAAAAAAGGTCAAGTGATTACTGAGAAAACCGCTTATACATATACTTTTGAATAGTCTTGACAATGGAGTGAGTTTTGACCGTGATCTGATCCAAACCCTTAAGAATTATATGAGGTTGGAGCATATTTTTTTATTCGATTACTTGTTAACGACCCATATCCGAGGGTCGGGTATAGATCATCACCGATCCGCTCTATTTATAACCCGCATCGAATAGATTTTAGAATTATACATTTATATTTTATGTTGCCTAAAGTTTAATTTTAATTTCAATCGAAAGTCAAAGGGAAAAGGTCAAAGACCAAACTGTTTTAACATATGACTGGGGAGTCAACTTCAAGACTTCCAATCTTCTACCAAGAATCATGATGTCATTTCATTTATATTTCATTAAGTAATCACCAATTTTATTTATAAATCAATAAGTCATTTATCAACCTGAAGAAACTTTGCAATTGTTATTCTCTATCACTGCAATCGACAGTTAAAAGTCAATCGAAAGTTACTAGGATAGTATTTTAATTCCAATCGAAAGTCCTCGAGTACGTAATGCATTTTCTAAATCAACATTTGTTTTATTTAAGAAATGCTATTTTAAAAATTTAAGTAAATGTGTTTATTTATTCAAAAAGCTTACGGGTTACAGGGGGAGTTTGGATATTTGTTTATTCAATGGATAAGGATATGAGTTTGATTATGCAAAACCATTCGGGTTACAAAGTAGGTTTGTATTGGATTTTGAAATTTGTTAAAAGAGTTTGGATCAAGATTGATTCGCTTCAAACCCGCCCCATTTCCAGGTCTACTTTTGAAGGGTTTCATTTTATTTTTTAGGGATATCTCCGATAAAGCTATAATATTTTGGGTTAGATCACAGTTTAAACAAAAATTGAATTTTGTTTATAAAAAAAAAACAGAATATCGGCCAAAACTTTGAAATAATCGTTTTTTTCCGGTTTCATAGATTTAGCCGGCTTCCCGTTTTTTACGTTAATTTGGTCAAAATATTGAGACTCTTCTGAAGATTACGTTATTTTTAACCAATAACAAAAAATTGAGATTTTTCTAAAGATTACCCTTGAACTAATATATATATATATATATATATATATATATATATATATATATATATATATATATATTGTTAACAAATCATTTGGAAACATAATACATAATTTTTATTCTAAACAAAAGAAATGCAGTTGTTGCTAATTTAGAAGAATGGAAAGGTTGACTAAGTATCCTCATATTGCTTGTTGACAACTTCAAACTCTCTATGTTTCTCTTATGCATCGTTGTGTGTGTCATGGTGAGATACACTTTGTTGACGTTCCTCTGATTTTGTGGTCCTTTTATGTTTTTAAACCTAACAACCATCAATGGGTATTGTCTATTATGGTTTGGATGGTTGTTAAACAGTTATATCAAAAACTTCATTACAGAAAAAAAAATTAGATAAAAACCATAATAGACAATACCCATTGATCACCAAATTACGCATACATCGGACCAAACTTTGTTTGTCTAGAAATTATATAGTAAAGATCTAACAGTTGTCTAAAACACTAAAACACCAAAATCCCTAAACAAATGTCCCAATAACATAGAGACATCCGAATTTTCCCTATTTTCATCAATGCAACCTCCTCTGTGAGTTTTGAAAACCGTAGAAAGTAAAGTAAATAAAGCTAACAAGGAGATTAATTTAAAGATTAAAAAGACCACTAACAAGAAGACAAAGAATAATAACTTGCATGGATTTGATCTTGACTGTCATGCACCAATTATTGGGGGGGGGGGGGTATAGTAGGGTTATGGTTGAGAACTAGATTACCAATGGATGGCGTGAGTTTCCTTTCCAAACTGATATTTCCACCCTATGCCCGGGTTACAAGAAATCCAGTCTAAGATAATCCAAAGGGACACTCACGAATCTAGGCATAGAAATGTAAGCCAAATTGCAACTGAGTTCTAAGATCATTTTGAAGATAGAGAGCTAAGAAGGGGTCTAGTCACGAGTCAATAGAAGAGTCGTATTTATACTTTGACGGATTAAGGTTTCTGTCTTCTAAATTAGTTAAGAGATTCACAAATTAATGACATAATTAATGATTTCCAAAATTGATAACCTTTATCATTCTTACCATAATCACTCATTAGAATTCAGATTTTCCATAAAGGCCCCCTTGACCCGCGCTACTGTGTCATACCAACTTAAGATTTCAATCTTGTATACACATGCACTCTGCATTCACCAAACATATAATATAGAATACAAATAATAAGCCCCTTAACTCACATATTAGTTCCAATTACACCAAATGTCTGGTGAAGCTAAAATCACCAACAACAATTGCTTTAAGGATATTTCATATCAATAACAAAACATAATCTTGCTACCTCTTTACCAAAGGGAATATACGATCAGACAACTCATTTAAAACATTTATTAAAGTATAAAGTGATCTTTTTATTGGCTAGCAACGACGACAAGTTGGGAGGCTGGAGTTTTGTAACAAATGGTAAAACTAGGTCAACATTCGCCGGTAAAACCATTGCGAACCCCATTGTAATAGGACCTATTGTGTAGTATTCCTTGTTTTTGAATGCAATTGAAGTCATTACACTTAGAATTGCATGCAGAATACCCAAAGTGTCTCAAAAAGTTTATGATCGTTAACAAACGAAAAATTATTTTAAAAAATAAGTGTTATTAATACATAAAAAATAAAATTTTGTGTATTAAGTATACTTAGGAGAAATTGACACTCTAATTGGATAGTGCTTGTTAACACGACTTCATGCATATAAAGATCATTAAAAACGGAGTTCGTATGCAAAAGTTACGGACTTTTGAAGAAAACGAAAAATCAGTCGGCTAAAAATGTAAAATTACGAAACTTAAAATGCTTCGTTAGGTTCCTTAAATTTTGAATCTTCAACTCCGAACAATATTCCCTCGATCACAATACCCAAAGTGTCTCAAAAAGTTTATGATCGTTAACAAACGAAAAATTATTTTAAAAAATAAGTGTTATTAATACATAAAAAATAAAATTTTGTGTATTAAGTATACTTAGGAGAAATTGACACTCTAATTGGATAGTGCTTGTTAACACGACTTCATGCATATAAAGATCATTAAAAACGGAGTTCGTATGCAAAAGTTACGGACTTTTGAAGAAAACGAAAAATCAGTCGGCTAAAAATGTAAAAT